ATACTGTTACAACAACCAGCACCAAATCAGTACATCACTGGCTGTCACCACAGTGTGTACCTCGGCGTCACCCCTTAAGGACTTGACGATATCCACTTCAATCTTACACCGTTTTTCAAGTTGCGCTTAAAATCCCCACCAAGGAGCACGATGAGTGCTTCATTTCAGCATGCTTGTGTGAACTGTATCCAGTCAAAAAGAGAGCACCGAAACCGACCTGGTTATTGCCATGGCCACATGTATAAAACTCAGTTTCTATCGGATTCGCAGTATGTATTTTTCTTCATTTTCTTCATTGAGTGGTGTGAAACTTATGACATCAGTTGTCACCTTGTCTAGGTGCCCGGCTAGACGCAATGCTTTCCGTGGTGTTTGCTGTCCAGCTATGCATATCATCTCATTTTCGAGCAAGATTCACCACCATACTGATTAGTTTCACCACAATCCCATCTAACCTTGCCATGACAAAGTGAGTCAGCTGATCTCAATGTGTTCGCGACCTTGAATGTGCACCGGACAGGCTGTATAAGAGATCTAATCCCTTAGCCACTTTATACTCACATGGTCTTGTCCCACTCTTCACGTCTATAGAGTGGATTTTTTTTTTGGGGGGGGGGGCGATTGAGATCAACTCGCGCACGGATGAAGCCATTCAAGTGATGTGGCTTACGCATGGTCGGTAGCAGGCAAGCCCTCATTGAGGTACTTGATACTTGGGTCAGGGTAGATGAGGGCTCAAGAAAAGACACAAATAACAGTCAACCTGCTGTGAAAAGGCGCAACTCGTTTACGCACTTACCATACACAGCGCACGCAGCCATCAGCACCCGTCACAAAAAACGGCCGAACTAATGTAATATCCGTAGTAGAAATCCACAATTTTACTGAAAGGCATACAATAGAAATCGAGCACCCGGGGGTCCGGGCAGCGTCTGGCCTTTGTATGAACTTTGTATGATCTCGTCATCCGAGATCAGTAACCAAGATACAACTTGAGCTACAAGGCACCTGGCTCTGTTGACAAAAATGACTTCAGCTGCAGGTATAACTGTCCAACCATTGGCCGGAAGGACACGTGTTCAAAACTCTGATTTTCGCAAGATACGTACTGCTGATGATTTACAACAAGGATGAAGCAACCATACAGTGCTTCTTGTCTTTTCAGCGTAGGGCTGCTTCACTGACTGGATGAAACATTAGCAAATCTACTCATATCACCATCACCTTGAAATAAATGGTCTCTAAACTCCGCCAATGATTACGACAACAGAAGTAGATTCACAGGAGTTTATGTTTGATTTGCATAACTCGCCAATACTCATAAAGAAGAACGGGATCGATGACGCATGGCGCACGTTGAATGCGGTTCATTGTTAGGGTTGAGGAACTGGGGTTATGAGCACTCCGTAATTACATCAGCCGATGCATATTAGCAAACTTCCCGGTTCAAGGTTTCTGTGCCATCATGCACAACCTATTCATTGATGTTAGACAGCTGAGAAGTAATCGCATGTTTATTCGAATTTCCAATCTGCTTCGTGTGGAGCCTCAGACAACAAATTCGTCGTTCTTCCATTTTTGAGAATTTTGGCAGAAATTTGCATGTCACTGCGCACACTTGGTGGTGTTGGCGTCCCTCAAACGTGCACACAGCGTGACCTTTAGGATGTGCTACACTCCGCCGAATTTTTATTTCAAATGACGTGAGCGTGAGAAGTACATGGTAGGTGTGTCGGCGAATCGCACTTTATGACAAAAGACTGTGCTGCATTTAATCACCAATACTGATCGTGCGTGACAAAAGACTGCGCTGCGCTGCATTTAATCACGAATACTGATCGTGCGTGAGAACTTGCTTCCTGTTGGTCTGATGTAGATAAGTCGCTTGAAAGCCACGCTCGGGCGTCCAGCAGCTTTATCTGTCCCTAGGCTGATCTCACTCACCTCGAAAACTCACGGTGCGGACGTGAACAGAGCAGCACCATCACGCGAGTGGAATATGGTGGATCCGGCTGTGAGAGTTGATCTGATCAACCGCCGTCACGGTGCATATCCGAGATCACAGACACATTGATTGAAAGCGGTGAAACCGATCGGGACAGTGTTTGCTCGTGACAGAGGATAATTAACTCCAGGGTTAGTCCTGAAAGTCTCGACCTTTTTTAACAAAAACCCAGCGGTGCACAAAATCCACACGTCTCTGAATAATTCGAACGCCAACAAACCACATGGTGACAACGTGTGTTAAAATTCAGTGTTGGGCACAGATTCATACGAGTCCAGGATCGAGGTCGGCTAACCGCAACAAGTCCAGTGAGGCTCCTGAAACTTGCTGAAACTAGGTCGACCAATAACGAGTGCTCTTTGAATTACACGACAGATGCGCGCAGGCTTTGGAAACCCGAAACTTGATCGACCGTCTCGCTCACCGTGCTGTTTGGACTAGACAGAGAGTGGGTTCTAACCCATGCGACACTGAAAGTAGAAGTCACTCTCTCACTCCAGTGTCGACTGTCCACAATAAACTGAATCGTCTGGCGCTGAAGTTAGCTCACAAATGCTTTCTTACCTGGATCATGTTAGTTCATTGGAAAATCCTAAGTGGTTCGCCCAAAAGCGTTTACAAATCGAAATCCATTAGAAGCTAAAAGTCTGACTTGGTGCAATTTCTTTATTAAGCTAGAATTTTTTAATTTCTTTTCTACACAATCAACAAATCATGTGCTATCGACTTTTCGAAAGCAGTTGCATCATAATTTGGACTTATCTGCATAAGCGGAACTAGATTTGTGGAACACAGGCCTTCTGATGTTGCAGGCAATCAAGGGGCGATTTGAGATTAATTTGCCCAAATTTCTGACAGTCCAAGTGTTTCATCGCCGCACAACTCTAGAGCACAGTCAGATTGGTTCGTCCGGATAAGTACACATGGTTTTATGGGGTTGTGCAAAGAAAACCTGCCACGAAGTGACACCACACCTTACCGTGGTATAACCGTTCGCGCACCCCAGCGATCCACTGAGCTATACTGGAGAGTGTCCCGCGACACTCACAGAGTCTCTCATACCAGGTTGGTCAATGGTTACAGGTCTGACGAACACAGTCTCCTGGCTCTCCAGGTTGGGGCTTGGAACATGTGGCGACTTGTTCCTTAGAAATGGTGATGCATTTGGAATTCCCGCCAAATACCGCTGCTTTTCGGTTAGGCTTTTGAGCCAAAAGCTTTGGTTGGGGACCCTAATCGTCCTCCTGTCTAAATGTGGGCACCCTGACAGTATCACAGCCCCCATACAACCATGATGTTCACAACTAACAATACTCTCATGCGTAAAACAGTGAAGAATCGGTGTTGAACACTGATGTCATTCCGTCCAAGAGCAAATAACTCGGAAGATCAACTTGTCAGTTCAGCTGCAAACGGGCAGCTCTTTCCTTAGACAGCCATTCATAATTATACAATTCAGGAGATTCTCCTGAACACTGAAGTAACGATCTTTCACGCGAGTGTAGTGAAAGCATGTAAAAGCAAGCAAATCCAGATTGCGATAGACAACTTTCCGGCGGGAATCGATTTTAGATAAGCTGGTGATGGCGAACGGGGAGTAGTAGTTATTTTTCCCAGGATCAATACAAAATCGGTTGTACGAAGCTTTTTTGACCAGATTTGGCACGATTTCCCTGTACATGCTTGCATTGTTATTGCGACGGTTCTCGTCAGACGTCAAGCAATTTTATTCACGAGCCACCCAGAATGTGAACACCATGGTCTATTGGCCCCATCACATCTCTATGTTTATTGGACGGATGCATACAACACTAGAATAAATTGTCTACTGATCCACCAGACTCACGACCACTTTCANCCGATTGGTGATGAAACGTTTGCAATCAAATTGCCCAGATCAGCGAACAAGCCAACGACCATCTACGCTATCTGAGCTACTGACATTTTCCTCTATAGAACGAAGAAAACTGTTTTGGAACGATTTGTAATGTTGATGAGTGGGGTGCCGTGTTGCATGAATAGTTTGCGATTCTCATCGTATCGTTACTAAAGAATTTACACAGGCGAATTGTTCGTTTCGGCTGCGGTATTTCCTCGCAATATTGGGCTTTGCGCCATCGTAGTTGTTGTCCTCAGACATATCTGAATTGCGTTCAGTGACGGGTAGTGATTTTTTGCGCGCTCAAAGTGATCCTCAAATGCCATGGAAACAAATCCTGAATGCTGTGCACCAAGCAGAGGCGACTGTTCATCAGATTATGTCTTCTGTGGTTGGGTACATTTGAAAATGTTAAGAGTAGACGCTGGTGTGGCGGATCCCAAGTTTTTGAATTTGCGTTCATCACTGTCGTTTGAAAAGTCCCCCTAATGATTATTCTGGTTAGCCTGTACCAAAGATGCGAAAGTGTCAAACTGCAGTTTCACTCTAACTAGGGGGATTCAGGAGTGCATACAACTTGGACATGCCGAGATTCGTACACCAGTTATCTGATCAACAAAGATGGCGCACGTTCCCACAACTCTACAACTGCACGATGGAGGAACCTGAATCGATACCTCTGCACAGGCCAGCATGGTCACAATTAGTGTAGTAACGATATTTTTCTCGGCTTAGTTCTCGGTCTGAGCCTCCCAAACTAGCGTTCAGGACAAAACAACCGCCAAAGGTGCATAAGGTATGTTAACGCCCAAAACGAAGTCAGGAACACTTGTACAGCGCTTCATATATATAGCGTAGGCGGCAGTTACTTTCTGGAAATGCTGACGCGTTCTGGATGCGGCAACAGCAACCGGCGTTAGAATAATACTGGGTCATGATTGGCTGTTGGGTCCAGACTTTCGACCAATCAGATCTCGGCTTGATGCCGGACCGGCAAGCGTCCCGAACTTTTGACCAATCTTGCGTGGGATGGTCTTCTCGACCGTAGCAGCACCTGAATGCGAGCGTTGAAGCGGGATCCGTGTGGAGGTCCGCCTAGCACTAAGGTTGCATCCGCTTTCACCAAGAGGCGTTATCAGTGAAATGACCTTCAGTGTTGCCATGTTGTTAGTAGGCATGCGAAACATGTTCCATCGTTAATCTGGGCATTCGCGTCCAACTGCCGAATGACTAATTTACTTGGACTAATCGTACGGACATAGTGGCTAGGGAGAAGGAATTTTAGTCAGTGGA